CCTACTGTACAGCAGAGCGACATCCACGACTTACCCGCTTTTTTTAATTTTATTAATACTTGTTTGTATACAATATGTTACCATATAATGTTTTGCGTATTCCTGGCTTTATAGTATACATTTTCCTTGACTCTATGAAAATAAAAGTCCCAAATACACGAAATAATGTACAATATATATTTCATAAATTATAAATTAATTAGTAAAATATTTATAAGTTTAAGGTGGATATTATAGACTACTTAAGTCAACGAAAATTGTTATTGATTTTTTTTATAATGCCTATTTCGTGTTTGTGGGGCTCCATGTATAAAATACTAAGCTTACAGTGACCTAAATATATAGTTTATATTTGAATTGTATGTATTGTTTTTTTTATTAGTTAGTTTTTGCCTTGTTGGTTCACCTTTAGATTAATTTTTTGGTATTTTATAAAAAATATATGATGCATTGATACATTTCAATAATACAATATTTTGATCACACGACGTTATAGATAGGCAAATCAAGTACATCAATCATTCTCTTGGATTCATTTTTCCGATAGAATTTTTTCTCATAAGTAGATATGATATTTTTCTAATGCATATGAATTATGAAATATATTCAATAAGTGCATCATAATACGATATACGTGAATAAATAAAGTTAAATCAGTATATACTATATAATTTTAAATGCCTACAGCATACAGGTATTAATGTATTATTATCACTGGATACGATTTGAAACAAGCTAAAACTAATTGAATCTGAAATGATTCTTCTGACTGTGTCACATAGTTCGTCGTGTTACTTTCATTGTCCACTAAAGTTTCTCACATACGCTAAATATTGACAATTCTCTTTAAACCAACTAAAAATAAGTTTAAAGAAATAATATTATTTGTGTGTTGCTAAGTTCGCGGGAGTAATTAAACAGTGATTTTTTAATTTCTCATGTCAACATTGTAATTTAATTTAAAATGTAAAAATAATAATTTTATTGAAAGGATAGTTTGACATAACACAATATTTTAAATCTACGTTAATATAAATGCATTTTTCGTTACAAATATATTATATATTTAATTGACAATTGGACAATTCTTGATTAATAATCATATTTATATTTTTTCATTCTATTAAATTATTTCAGTGTGATTTACACTGAATAAATATTTAAATTTAGATTTTTGTTGTTTTTAAGACTTAAAACATTTAAGGCCATATTTTCAAGTACTTAAAATTTATATTCAATTGAATATTGACAATACTAAATTTTGTTTTTCAAATAAAAATTAACTTCTTTTAATTTAAATGTATAGCCAGTAGACTTTTTTGAAAATTTGCATAGATATATTAAATACAAATTAAAATGAGTAGTTTCTACATTATTAAACTGTACGTAGTACGAATAATAAATAATTCTATGTAAAATATAAAATAGATTTACTACATATTATAATCTAGTACTTATATCTGGTCAATTTTCGAAACTTTTATGGAAACTATCGAGACTTAAAAGAATATAAATATTTATCATGTTACAAATATCTTTTTTAAATTATTAATTTATGAACTCTCCTGTCTACATATTGTTCTAACAGTCAAAGATTATCGACATTTTACTGAAATAATTTAAAGCTATAGTGATGTTATTATAAAATCTAAAATTATATATTCTTTTAAAAAATTGTTATTGCAATTCACTTCTTAATAAAATATGATAATTTTTTTTAATACTGCATACAATTTTATGATAAAAATACATCAATAAAAATTCACCTTTTTACATTAGTTTTAGATTCTATTATTTTGGAATAAACGCCTTTGAATCAAAACCTGGATAATCGTATGTGTATGCTGAAACCTCTCTTGGTTATAAATAAATGCTTCACTCTAAACACCAAGGTATGAATCTTTGAAGGTTTACTCAAACCGATATGGGTTTCATCTATGGAGCGCAGCAAAACAATTTAACATTAATAAAATTCAATCGTTCCAAAATATATCACTACGATGACTATTCAATGCTTTACCCTATATTTCTAATTTAATTTTTAAGAATGGCCTCCAAATACGAACAATCGGAGATAAAGAAAAATRCCTCTAAAAAAATATATAATAATAATTAAAAATTAACATGAATTAAGAGTCACTATTGGGTGGCTGCTTTAACCACATACGAGTATATCATATGATAAATTACCCTTATCATATAAACTTATTGTAATGATACGCATAAATTGTTTGTGTCAAATAAAAACATAAAAAAATAACATTCAATTATTTAATTCATCTCTAGGTACTTTCCTCAAATTATACAACGCATGTTCTATTGTTTTCTTAACCTTCATAAACTCGCACTTATTTTTTCTACGATATAGATTTTATATTTTCTCCTAAAAATAAAAATAAAATAATTTAATTCAATTGAAATTTTAAGAATTAAATATTTCAATTTTTGATACAAATAAAAATTAGATATCCAATCCACTCAATAATTAAATTATTATATAATCTATATTTGAAGAATGTAATTACATCAGTTAATTATTCTCTTCTTCCAGCATTTTTCGAATGTCTAATTTATTCATGAAATAATAGCTACATTGTCTGCCTTTCTGTAAATTACAAAAAAATATTTGATCAATGAAATTGCATAGTGATTAAAAATCACTTAACAAAAATAATTTAAGTCAATCAATACAAATACAAAAAAAATAACTGTCCACGGGAAAGCTGTTTATGAAAACCAAACCAATAAAATATGACTTTCTTTAATTAAGTTAATATTTTACTGCAATGGTATCTATTTAATTTAAGTCAATTTTAAACGTATTCGTTAGAAATTAATTTAATTTTAATGACGTAGATTGTATGATATTATTTATATATACCAGATCTTTAGCTATACGATTGGCCCCACATCCTATTAAAATTGAACTAATTGTTTCCACCTGATCTACAGACATAGCGTAATGCAGTGCGGTTCTTTCAATCTATAAAAAAATAACATAATAACACATTAGGTATATAATTATATAAATACAATTGTAAACTAACAATTATCGATAAAATGTTACTCCCAATAAAGATCACTTATATTGTCAAAAATTAGATGTTTWAAATTAATATAAAAATATATTTAATGTAATAACTTAGAGAGTAAGCAAAATCTATGGAATAGGGAAGCAAACTGAGTGTCATCCACAGCAATCTAATAGTATATTTTAAAACGTCACACCTACATATTTTGTATTCGTCATGTAATTGTATGGCATACCAAATTTTTGTTCAGTCGTTCCAATTGTCTTTAGTAATCTAATTCCTAGAGGTTACTAAAAATGAGTGAATTGATTTATCATCAGACTTAAAGCTAAAACATTTTCTATGTTTCCTTGTGGATTTTATGCAATATTCATTTTAAGCAATTTGTGAGTAATTACAGAAATTACAACATTAATTAATATAACATTTTATTATATTAAATATTTTATTAATTGTATTTTTACATTACAATTTAAAAATTATCAGAACTCACTTATAAATTAAAATAATATTGTACAAAGCTCATGAGAAAACATGATGTTCTTATTTTTAATTTGGGTTATAACTTTTTAAGTTAGTTCACTCTATTTTCAAATATTACTACACTTGGAATTTCTGATCACAAATTAATATTATGTTGTACGTTTGTAAGATGGAGACAACAATGTTAGTATAGACTGTATAAAGTCTTTATAATAAAAACATGATTTCATTTACTAAAACTAATAAAATTTACCAATACAGAGATTTGGAAAAATATTGTTAAAATATTAAAAAACTTAGTAATTTCCTTAAGTTCATTAAATAAAATTAAATAAATTTTCCTTACATTATCGAGCACAAATAATGTAGTAGGAAAATTCTCCGCAATTAACCGTAAGATCTCTTCATTCTGGCTTAACACAGCTATGTGTAAACTGCACCGACTTCGTTCGTTTTTTGCCATAGCTAACATGACACACTCGTTATCACGTTCATGCAACATTTCTTGAACCTGACCCTTGGCTCCAAAAACAATGTCTCGATGTAATCGCTTTCGTTTTTCCTTATATCATATTTTGTTTTAAACCAACCACAACCATTATAACTGTTAATTTATATTATAATTATATAGTTTTATACTATTTTACTAACTTCAAAAGTCGGTATACTTTGAAGGATAGCTGACACGTGAGAGTGGCCTCTACTTAATGGTAAATTTAAAATGTCTTTATCTGTGTTCAAATCCAAAATATGGTTGTACCCTTCCAATAATAGGTTTATTATTCTGTTACATTCACCTAGAATTGTTAATATGATTATTATAATTAAAATTCTGAGCCACATGGTATTGTATATTAATTTAATGATTTAATATATATWTTTTTTTTAAATTAAAAGTATCAACAATATCTACATTTCTATTAATACAATAAACTGAAGTTATATCAAATAAACAGATTTAAAATTAGAAAATGGGTTGAGAGAAAGGATCATCTAACGACGAAATATCTATATAAATATAAAAACTGAAACTTGAACATTTATTTTTCACAGTATTTTTACATTAAAAAAAGCGGGTAAGTCGTGAATGTCGCTCTGCTGTACAGTAGTTTGCAAGTGGGTTATTGTAATGGATGGAATTAAATTTGAATCCAATGAAATTATATCATTGTATATGAAAAACGATTCTGAGCGGAGATGGTTTATGACATTATCTGTCTAGGATAAAATATAGATAATTAAAAATTTTCAAGGTAAGGCCTAACCTAACATTCAGTGAAAATGTAATGTATCTAGGWCATTCGTTTTAAAGTTACATCAAAAACCAAAATCGATTTTGTCGAAAACTGATTGTGCATAAAATTTCGCGTTTYCCCCTTAATTTTTAGTTTGTTTATCCCGATTATTTAGAAAAATATTAAGAATTTTTTACTTTTGATCCCTCAAAGTACCAACTAGATTCACTTTCTGATCGAACGAGGTACTGAAGTCAAAAATTGAAGCACTTTTACTGTCCCTAAACGTGATGACAGACACAAATAAAAAAAAAATTTAAAAAAACACACATCATRGTAAAATYAATACATTCMTYGCTCCGCTCAGAATCTAAAATCTAGTTATTAACTAAAAACTTATATGTTTTATTATTAATTATTACATGGTATTTTTTTGAAAACATAACATATAAATATATTTTCTGTTACCAACAGTTAATGTTTGAGAGTTTAATTGATCTCCAGAGTTGGAGCACCGTAGGTCCATATTAGCCTGAAGCAAAGTTTATTAAGTAGAACTGTATAGCTCAGATTAATAAGTTTCGATGTCGTAATTTTCGAAAATGGTTATTCAAAGTAAATATGTGGATGTACCTATGTCACAACGGTTTGTATGTAAACCTAAGTATTTTTATGCATTAGGGAGAAGAAGTTTATTCAGTTTGATGATAGAACAGTTTTTTCCCTGAGCATGTATGTGCATTGTGCAGTAACTGGATTTTGATTAATTTACTTTGATCTCTAATCTAAATACAATGTTGATAGGAAATTTGATTTATTTCTATCATATTGCAGGGCATATTTTTAAATTTTAAATATAATTTACAAATAATATCCAATTGGTTGGAAAAACAACTAATTAAGGACAAATAATGTCATATTAATACTAACAGCATATGTTACTGATAAATTAATAATGCAATTTGTTATCTTACCCCTTGCTATAATATGAACCACGAACTTATCAATAGTTTTTACATTTTCTCTAATATTTGAACTAATAGCTATATCTCTTGGAGTTCTATAATATTCATCTCGAAGTGCAATATTCGCATCAAGTTCTTGCAACAATTGAAAGAAAGCATTGCGGTTATGTGTTCTAGACGCAGCATAGTGAATCATGTTCATTCCAAATTCATCCTGATGAAATAAAATTATTATTTTAAATAGTGTATAATAAAAATAATTATATCTTCTAATAAATGTCTTACACGACTAATTTTTTTAAATTCTGGCTGATAGTTACTGAATACATCCCAAGGTCTGAACATATTTTCARTGATCTGAGATTGATCTCCGTCGAATATATCTTGTGTCTGATCTTTGGGTTGCGACACCTGAACACAATATAGTGGCAATGAAATTACCATACAGGAATGTTTCAGCCAACCATGGTTTAGGATATTATTATAAATCATGATTTGGTATGAATTTACTATTAATAARTTTCAATTTTAAAATACTGTGAACGAAGAATCAAAAATTATAGTCCATTAAAATCAAAATATTTTTTATTGCTGTTAATAAAAATCACACATTWAACACAATATTCCATCAAATACTCTAATAGCTCATGTAACAAACATAATATAAATAAAATATTATTAGTATAATAATATTATGTTAGCCGGAACAGGTATTGTTAATGAAAAAATTAGAAAATCAATTGAAAATACATCAACTATACAATAATTTTCGTTTGAAACTATTTTAGGTATTTTAGGATAAGAATACAATATATATACATTTAAAAGCTTTGTAAGACAATGATTTCCAAAAATAAAATAAATTTATGATTATTTATTTGTTGAAAAAAAATAAAATGTTTTTATTCTATTTTTCTATAATAATGTTAAATGAACATTTTTTTTTTTAAATAAAAATTAAAATGTACATACTTTTTAAGTGCAATATAACAATACAATTATAATTCAATTATTACAATTTCTATAGTTTAATCTCACTTAAAAATTATTATAAATTACATAATAATATGTCATAAATAAACCTAAATAGTCACGTATTAGTTAAATTTTAGTTTTTATAAATCATATTTACTTAGCCAAACTTACACCGCTTTCTTGATCTAATTGCGGATCATCATAATGGTTGGTTAAATGTTCAGCTAAATACAGAGTGGGATTTGATGGTCGGCGTTTTATAATTTCCTTCAAACCAGAAGTTAGTGGTTTACCGATAGCTAAAATAAATATCATAACTTATGTCATGTTAAAGAAACCTTAAATATCAAATAATATTTTATCATTTATTACAGCTCTATCATTACTAATTTAAGAATGATAATTAATTTTACTCTTTTACAGTCTCATTCAATTATATTTATTTGAAAAAAATATACACAAATAAATTTTTCATTTTCAATTAACATATAATATACATTATATTTACCTAATCAATCAATAAGTAATCAATTACCTTTAATTAAGTATTCTCTGTCCTCGACAGAAAATTGACTGGCACTCATAACCACTGAGAGTAATTTTCCAGAGCTAATAGAAGATCCTAAGAAAAGAAATTAGTTATTAAAAATTTGATTATTTAAATATTATTTCAGTTATATTAACTGTCCATGTCTGTATCAATATTTTCCTCGTCGACTGTGTCCGTGACGTAAGTTACGTAACCTAAAGATTTACGTATCTTTTCCGGGTCAATTGTGACATCACTGTTTCCAAAAGTTGGTGGCGCATGGTAATCAGCTTGAAATTCCTATGAATATTTCATGAATATTACTATGGATACACACCAACAACAAGCATTCATATATTTATAACTGTCAAGTATAAAATTAGTGCAATCACTTTTTAACTGACAGCAGTAGTCGGGTAATGATGGGTGAAATAGTCAAATAGATATAACATCTACCAATGTATATACTGTTTATACCCAAAAATGTAAATAAATTATTGATAAATGAATCTAAAGTATAAATAAATTGATGTTTATACTCACATACCATAACCAACTAAACTTTCAAATTTAGTATTAAATTAGTAATACCTTAGCTAAAACGTAGTTTGTGGGTCAAATGTATGCAACGGTATTATAAACTTTCCTAAAAGCGCATTATGGTTAGATGGAGTAATATATTTATCTATTGACAATCACTTTTTTTAGCCTTAAGAATAAATTTATTAATGCATTTAAATTATATTTATCTGAATCCCAACCATATTTTGTTACTCAAAAGATGGGTTAGAGTCAAAAATAAAAAATACCTAATACATTTCTTAACAGTTGAAAAAACCTATGTTCCAAACAGTTCACTAAAACATTTGAGGTCTTTTTAAAAAAATAATAACAGTGTCATGTTTACGATCTTCTGGTCGWTTTTTGAACTAATATTTTATAAATCTTTATGAAAACGATGATTATGGCATAAACAATTTTTTTATTGCACAAGATAATCATATTTAAACTAATAAAACATAATAATATGCAATTACCTTTATATTATTCACTACAAAAAAATTGATTCTTAKTAAATTTCTTTTTACTTAGAATAACTTGGAATATTATATCCAATATAGTAAGTAATAATTATTCACTGCAAAGGTAGTGGAGACAAATTTATTTAAATAAAAATCAAGTTGCAACAATCAATAATTTATTTGATACAAAATATTATTAAAAATAGGTTTTTATGTAGGTATGTAATAATTTGAAATTCAAATTGTAAATTCATAATGCAATGTCCCCTCTCTGTAGTTATAAAATCATTAACCATATCACTACAATCAAATATAAAAGAAGGTAACCGCTCTGCCGTATAGGCACGTGTACCACATCATTGTAATCGATGAGTTAAATCTGAATTTAATGATAAAYAATTCCATACGAAAATATATTTTGAGCAGAGATGGTCTCTCAGRCTATATATATAACTCTACTATCTATTTATTTTGCTATTATAGTAATTTATTTTAAGTTGAATTAATGTTTGAACAACCTTGAATTTGTTATAATAATTTATATTTTTATCATATAATATTTTTGTTAACTTTTGAGTCAATACCATCTTACTGCGGTCCGCAATATAGTTTGAATATGTTCATATCATTTATGGAATAACTAGGCAATAGCTTAAAATTAATAAAAAATATTTTTCAAATTGAAAATATGTAAAATACAATAATTTACATAAATGTGTCGATTTCCCGCAAGTAAAATTGTCAAATTACAACAAAACAACTAAAATTGTTTTAGTTATATTTTAGTTTTGACCCCGAGGTCCCAAAGTACCAACTAGATTCAATTTCCATAACATTATAGTAGTTGTATATCGTGTCTTCAATCTCAAAAATAAAAAATATACCATTTTAAAATCATTATACATTCTTTGCTCAGCCCAGAATCTAAATTATAATAAATTTACTGCAGTATAAATTATATAGTAGGTACTAGCTATATTAACCAGTGTTTCCAGGTGGTAAATGAAACCAGGATGAACAATCTATCTGTGGCAGAMAGTAATAATAAGTAACATTTTTCTTACGTGAACCATTTGGAAGCATACACCAACGAACAYGCAACAATGATTTGAATATTATAAATAACGATTAAGCCACCCTAAAATAACTAGTTCAACCTATATTCGTTATAAATGACGTTATTTTACAATCTTTCTTCATACCGATCGGGTATTTTTTTATTCTATGCATTAGTCATACACTATACCATGTACCTATATATAACAGCCTGCTGTTACTTGTGGCTTCTATTATAATAATCTTAAACCCGTTTGGAATCCCAAATAAAATGTATGCGAAATTTGAAGCTGATTAGTTAAAAACTGTAGATTTTTATGAGTTACCTATTTAAATATTACTTCAAGTGAAATATTTCCATTGGTTTGTTGTTAAAATCGGTCGAGTATTTTTTTAGTCAATATCATAAACCTCAACCGTATAAACTTAGTCTTTAATATACTTTAATAGCATGATAGTTATAACTCAATTTTACACTTATATAGAATAACTTTACAGTCCAGACTACAAAATATTATATTACAATTTAAAAYACAGAAAATCATATCCAATAGTAATAACAATTTTTTTATCTGTAACCGATAACAAAAAAATTGATATATAATTGTTTATATATATAACAAAATTAATGTAACACATGGGACACTATAGAAACATAATATACATCATATATATTCATAGCCCATAAGGGTTAAACAATTAAACTACGAGTATCAAGAAATCTATGCAAATAACTTTTATTGAAAATGATCTAGTAGTTTTTGAGTTTATATAAGTCAAAGAAACAAACAAATATTCATTTTTATTTGTATATATGAAAATTCTTAACATGCATGAAATAAATACCAAATTTATCAGACTAAATTGAAAGCATAGCGCATATTTTAACATTTTTATAAACATTCATAMAAATCTTGAATATTGTAATATAAAGTTGTTGACATAACCATTCACCATGTAGATAAAAGGTTRATAAAATATGATAATAACATAAAAAAGTGCTTTTGAAAACGACGTGAAARTGATGAAGTTCCGTACAAAAATTAAGCATTTACAAAACACAGAAATATATGGCAATACCCAATGTATTTCTTCTTTTATAATTATTCAAAAATTATAAATCATAAACTTAAAATTTTAACCAAATATTTATATAGGTAATTTTACGATAAAATATAATTTTTTATTTACATTTTATATAGATAAACAATTGTTGTTATAAACATATACCTTAAAACTTATTACGATATTTTCTTACAGAGGAATACTTAGAAACCAAAAACTTTTCACAGTTGTGTTTATTTTTATTTTCTATACATGATCAAATTTTTAAAATTTATTTCTAGCTACGTATGTATTAGCATATATAATCATAAACCTATTCACTCGTTCTAAGATACGTCTGTATAAACTTATCAGTTAAGCGTACTTATATTTTTGAGGGAAAAAGTATAAGAAGACGTGTTGATTATAGATTCTATTTAGTTTATCTAAAATATTTTAGATAAACTAAATAAAATCTACCCGTCTTCTTCGCTCGAAATGGTTTTTCGCAAACAACGACTTAAATTTAATAATAAATTTAACATTATGTCAACTATTACAGTAGCTTACACGAGAGTCGTAAACACTCGAAAGTCAAAACAGCATACATAGCGAATTCCACGAATTTTTCGTTAAAATTAAGTACAGCTCAACTTCTGTCACGCTAAGTTCTTGAAATTTCAAAGAAAACCCAACATAATTTGAATTAATTTATTGAATATTAAATGAAATTTGTTTTTTTTTTTTATACGTTTTTAGTTAAATCTTTTTTTCCGTTATTTTAGGTCTGAATTATTGAATATCAACTAAAAGTGATCATACCTTTAAATTAATTTCTGTATCCAACAATTGGTCAATAAATGTCTTATCTTGCATATAATTTATATAATCTAATGCAGTCCATCCTTGCAAGTCAATCAATTTTAAAGTTTCTGGAAACTTATTCAACAAGTATTCAAACACATCAAATTGTTCATAGATAACTGCTGTATGTAAAGGAGTTAAGCCTAATCCACTTCTAGATTCACGAGCTACACAGAACTTCCTTCGATCTAAAAGCTGAATTAATTCATCCAAGTTTCCTACAGCACAATAACGATGAATCTGGTCAATTTTATTCTGAAAATCATAATATTTTATTTTATTTTTTTATTATTATTTTTTTGACTATCAGAACAAAAAAAAAACATATCGTCATAAATTTAATAGGCAATCGTTTTCGCTTGACTCAAAATTGCATGTAAACTTATAAAGTTATAAGTTATAACTATATACATGACCGAAACTAGAGTTAAGTATAACTACCATATAGTACTAGATAGATTTTTTGTAATACTCATCAAACATTTATTATTAATTTTTTATTATATTGAAAAAAAAGTCAGGTTTATTTTATGTTCGCGTATATAAATAAGACAAAATTAATATTTCCACCATTAATTTAAAACAAAGGTATACTTACTATTTATATAGAACCAAATCGAATAAAATCAAAATTTCAAAATTTTAAAATTTTCTTACAGAATGTGTAGATAAAAACAGTTTGCACTATTTAAACAGTTGATCAATCTTAATTAATCAATATTAAATATGAACGAAATATATATGGAAGGTGAARAGAAAATCTCGAATTTTTTRAAAAAATAATGAAAATGATAAGACAATACTCTAGTATTAAACAAATGGGTTTTTATTTTTTAAACTAAATTCTAACCTTTATTTAAATGCAATAATTTATTATTTAATAAAAATATAATAATTATCTGACTTATATATCCCACCATTCTGGTAAAATTATTTAAATAAATAAATTCCATAAATTAAAAATTATTTAGTTTTAAACATTTTTTTAATGATTAAATTAAGTATAAAATACATTATAACCACTTCCTATATACATAATACATAAATAATAAACATTATATGCTATTAAGTATATATGTCAGTAATTTAATACTTACTGCATAAAATGGTACTTTATCAAGAAAATCTTGAATTTCTGGTATGTTTGACCTTATTCCTGCGAGTTTTTCATATTTACCATCTAAAATATAATCAGCTATTTTCTCTAGGCTACCTTGTTTTACTATTATTTGAGCTGAGTTTATACGTTCCTAAATAGAAGAAAAAAAAATTATAAAATTTTCTTATTATGATACTTAAAAACTTAATACCTATAGCTAGGTTAAATTTACCAATCAAAAAATTTAATTTGCTTTCGTTTAAAAGTGTCTAATTTTATTTTTAATACAATGATTAAATTTTAAACTATCCTTAGATACTGAGTATAATTTATCTCAGCAGTCGGCAACTTTTTTAGATTCCCGGGTTAGGAAGAGTTAAGAGTTCGTGGGCAAAAATAAAAATTTTATATTCCAAATTATTTAATATGGAAAAATGTAAATATTATAGTTTTTAATATAATTATAATATAAAAGTATAGAAATTACAACTGTTTAGTAAAACGTTTAATGTGATTTTTGTTTTTGGATATTGTTTATTATTTTTTCAATTTCCACATTAAAATTACTTGTGATCGTTCTACTTCTAAGTACATATGGTGGATATGGTCATCAGTTAAGCGAATTAATTTTTTCATATGAGAAAAGGCCTGTTCACACACAATTGGATCCAAACATATTGAAGTATTTGTCAGCTATATGTTTAATTTTTGAAAATGATGCAAGAAGTTGAGAGAAAAAAGTAAAGGTGATGCTTTGAATGAGTCATTTAGGGTATTTTGTGGCTACAAATTTATTATTTCCATTTGAAGCTCGACCGGGATATCTTAAACATCAATATCAAACGGATAGGCGAGTAATTAAAAATATTGTAAATGTCCTTTAAAATCTTGAAATCTATTATTAAATTCTTGTTGAAGTGTAAATGCAACGTTCATATTATATTTATACAATATAATTATTTTGATATGATATTCAGTTAAATTTCATAGTTGTAGAATTTAAAGCGAGCCGTAGGTATATAATAAACACGCGGGCTGCTAGTGGCAAACCACTCATCTATCACATATTATAAGAGAAACCTCTGTAGGTGATGGTTTTCTGTAAATAGTGATGCCAATGGATGTGCTAATTGATACCTATGTAATTCGTTCTCGGGGCGTAACTTATTTCGACAACCCCCTTGCTAACCGAGCTAACAAGTTTACTAAGATTACCAAGGTAAATTTTTTTGGGCTGCGGCCGATTGCCTGAAACGAATATTGATAATGAAATTTGACTATAATTGATATTTTAAAACGTTTTTGCTATTTCAAACACTTCTGAAATATTTGTTCTTCGTATTACTATTCCAGAATACTAAACACTTTTTCGTATTACTGTTGTTTGCCAATCACCAATATTTTCATATTTAACTAGTAAATTTTGTTTTAAAATTATATTTTATAACAATGATTTTAAGAACGAATAACAAGACCTAACCTAGTTAAAATAAAAAAATAAAGAGATATCTAACCCGCTCGGCCTCGAATCTGAAATTGTTTAACCTATTTAAATTTATATTTATAGCCTATAAATTATAAGTATTAACAATTTAATTTAAATATTAATAAATATAAGTTGAATCATCAATTAGTAATTAACGTACGAGTATTTCAGTAATAAATATCCGTTCAATAATTTGTGTTCAATAATAATGGTCCGTTGCTCATCGGAGTATTTTATAGTCAAATAAATAAATGAATTATGAAAACTATAAACCAAAATAAGTACTWAGAAAAAATAACGTTTATTGTTCGATTATTATTTAATTATTTTAACGTAACATATTTTATATAACATGAATTTATTCACAAATTATTTTCTGTTTAAAATACCTAAAATATTTTTTGTAGGTAACTACTTGATTCAAAACTCTGTTGCACATACTAAATTTCTACACATAAATATTTCGATAGATTCTTTATAATTTTACAATTAATTTCTAGATTTAATATCCARAAACTAATCTGTTATTATATAAATAAATTATGAGACAATTATACAATTATGCCTGATACAAATTTATATTTTATATTTTATATGCATAAWAATATTATGCTAATGATAAAATAAAAGATTTTACTTACATTATAATAAAACAATTTTTTTACCTGCATTTCTGTAGAATTCAATTCATTATTATCAGAATCTTCATCTTTATTTATATAATTTATACTATTAACTCTGTATACTGGGCTACCMATAGGTAAAATGTCTTCCAATAGACCATTATTTAATGCTTGTCTGACCTCGCCCAACGTAAGACTATTAGATTTTGGAACAATGTTGTTTGTTCTACCGATATCTTGAACTTCTGCAGATTTATTATATAATGAAATATAATTTTCATATCTATTATCAGGATCATTATTAGTTTCGTATCCATTATTATCAATATCGTCAATAATTTGAAGTTCCTCTTGAGAGTATAAAGAAGTAAAATTGTTATTTCTATTCTTAAGATTACTATTTTCACTGTTACCAATATTATCATCAATTTTTAAYTGTTCTGATTTAATATCTGAAGAATTATTATAATTTTTAGTTATATTTTTTGGGTAAATTTCCTCTTTATTTTCATTTTTATCAACGTCACCAATATTATTAATATTTTCAACATCATTTGTGATTTTAGTTTTGTCGGTATGATCAGTAATTGCTGGATTTTTTTTTATTGTACTGTTATTAGTTGAATGAGTTTGTATTTCAGATTCCTAAACAAACATTAAAACACTTAAAAGAAAGGTTTTTGTCTATAAACGTTATATGTGAATATACGTACCTGAGTTGACATATTTTTAGATTTTAATTTGCTGACAGATTTATCGACAGATTCATARAAAATATTCCAGTCCCAAGAAGCTGGAAACTCAGAAGCAATTCTTGGTGCTTTTGGCAGAACGGTTAATAAATCATTTGGGAAGTCATTTATCTTCACACCATTACTTTTTGGTGTTCTACCATGCTTGAATACAAAAACAAAACATATGTTTTTATCATAATTTAGTGTAATTAAATACAAATAAATAATAATTCAAATCTATGTTGAATAATATTTAATAATTATTATATATAAATGCATAAGGTAATTTTATTAGCTATAGTATACGTTATGGATTGGATATATATAGCCACTAAGGGCATCTTGTTGTATGCACTCTACCATAAGATTACAATTMTTATGGTTTTTAATGCACGTAGCTATCYAAGGATAACATTTTTTGGAAGAATCTGGAGCTTAAAGTTATAAAAATACGTGTAGTAAAACTCATAGGTATGTGTATCTTATTGAAATATGGTGTAAGGAATCAATAAAAGAGACACATTTAACGCCTCATTTTTTAAGGAAATAGCACAAATATTTAATTTTTTTATTGATTATTAATMATTAATTATACATTTAAATTAAATGAATAAAGTATAAAGGTGGATATTTAGTGATAAATAACGAAACGAAGACGACAGCACTGTTAATTTTATATTATAATAATTTTTACTAATATATTAGCATTTATATATGTTTATTTTTATTTTTCACTACTTATTTATTATAACTTTGAGTAGGTATTATTTATTTCATCAATAAAACCACTTTTACATCATCCACTACTAAACAACTTACAAGAATATAATATTGTATAAACAATACTGAAGAATGATAAAAACAAAAGAACGCATACTGCGGTCAATGTTCATTGCGACTGATGCTMGTAGAGCACATTCAACAAGTCATACAGAGCTCAATATGATATAGTACGTTATATAATATTGTGTATACATAAACATTAAACATAATATACATATATAGAGTGAAACATTGATTATGATATTACAGTATGCTGTATTGTTGTGTAAGATTAATGATTATCAAAGATTATAATCATATAATAAAATTTATTTTATAAATTATGAAAAAAATATCAAAATTCAATAAATCAGATTGTCCGTAAAACATGATCATGCATCGTAAGTTATTACAGTAGTAAAACATTGAGTAAATGTAAGAATCAATAATAWATACATAATATTATATATGTAACTATGTAAACATAACACATAAGCACCGATGACAAACCTTGTCAATTAAATTTTCATTTGCTCCTGCTTTAACAAGCATATTATAGATGGGTAAAATATGTTTTGATGGAGAAATAAAAACATAATGTAGAGGTGTTCTACCATCATTATCTCTTATGTTCACCATTTTTGGATTTTTGTTTATTATGTATTCTACAATACTAAGACGACCCAGTCCTACGGCCTGAAAAATAATTGATTTTATTATTATAAATTATAATATTAATGATAAGCAGAGGCGGACTGGTTAATTTTGGCCTGTGATGCAAAATCAATTAAGGGTCCATATTTTTTTTCAAACCTACTTAAATTAGAAAAGAGTCCATAGGTATAAGTAAATTAAAAAAAATTAAGAATATGACATGATGTTTTAATTTTAAATAACAGTTATTTTATCTATATTTGTTTTAATTATGTAGACACAATAGTGATACGATATAATATTATAAAAAAAATATAATTACAACTGTATTGTCGATTTCTATTATAATTTATCTTTATATTCTAAATTATAATAAGAATTAAATTAAAAAGGGCCCCACAGTGGTAATCGGGAGTTCGGATCATAAATACGAATATGGGGCCCGGGGTGCTACTTGGTGTATAGCACCCTGGGCCAGTCCACCCCTGATTATAAACAAAACTAAATTTTAACCTTATGTAATGGAGTTAATCCATTCTTGTCTTTACTAGCTAAAACTTCTATAGGGACAGGATCACGATTTAGTTTTTTCAATAACACGAGATTATCGTCAATAACAGCCTTATGGACTTCTTTGATAATACCCTATAATAAATAATAAAAGCAATACTAGAAAAATGTATTTCGACAAAAGTGTAGAAATTTAAAAGTTACCATTATATAGGGCACCGCTTTCAAAAACTTGTTCACCGTTATTTGTTTGCTAGTCTCAGTCAACAACTTATCTCCCAGTCCAGACCAAATGACATTTGAAAGCTGTTTTATGTTACATTCGTGTATCCATATTCTTATATTGGAAGGTTTTATAGGCACCTCTAAAAGGAGATTAGGAAAATACAATCAACCAATAATTTTACAAARTATTTATAGATATACTTGGATAAATTTACAMTAGCTGCCCTGCCCGCGGTTTTTACAAATGCCAAAGATTTTTTTTATATAAATATATTAATAAAAATATGTTCATGCCGTATTTCTTCTATTTATAATACTAATATATGTAATATAACTAATGTCAACCATTTAGATAGGTACCCAAATAAAAAATTCTTTTTTCGTTATCTGAGTAAAAAATCATCTGTCAACTACTTTTTAACTTTCAGGAGTTAAAAAATTAAGATACTAACACTTTCCAAGTCTCATAGAATTTATTGATATAATTGTTATTGATAACGGCCCAGCAGTAGTTTTTGAGTCAATTAACTTTGGATAAACCAACATCCATTTTTAACTATATAACCCGACTTCTCCGGTGAAAACATTAAAAATTAAACATATAACACTATATATATATATATATATATAGGTATAATAGGTATATCTTGATTTTAGTGTAACTCACTCTGCGAACCATTTCAACCAAGATTGACAATTTACATGTGGCAGATTGAATATAGAAATTTGTATAAATTGAACATGGTTCAAATAACTCTTTAAGCTATCCTGATGTCTCTGTTTCTCTAAGAATAATTTAAAATTTTCATAAAATCGGTCAAGTAATTTTTAAGTACATATATAAGCTACAAAAAACATACATTCAACTCTTATATTTGTTTTAAGATATAATTGCTTTATTTGAGGCCATAAACATGACGATTTGATGCTTTTTACCTCATCTGCTCGAGTAATCATCAATAAATTGCAACCATTTATATACAAAAAAAAAAATTATTATTTCTATTATTGCAATTATAAACAGTAATAATAAAAATTTGCAGTTTTTCTGAATTTCCAAATTTTCCAGGAAACTTCTTATTTTTTTCTCTAACAGCCTTATTTGAGCTATTATATGAACRTTAAAAAAAATTAAACCAAATTGGTATGATTTTACGACTCAATTGAACGTTTTAAAGTGATGCGATTACTAGCGAACAGTATTTAATTTTTATTTAATGTTTAGATTAAAATAGTTAGTAAATTATAATAAAAGTCTCGAAAACATAATTTAGTCAAAATACTTCAGAAACTATTCTAAACCTATGATTTCACTAACGATGTTTATAAAGACCCGTAAAATTTAAAAAATCTAAGAACAAAAAGTTMTATTCAGGGTTTTGTTATGAAGAACTATGGGAAAACTTTCTTTACGCTCAGCACTAAGTAAAGTTTGGTTAAATTTATATCTATAACTAAAAAATGGTGAATTAATTTAAGATTCTTGTATTTTAATTAATACCTATTTTTAGATATTTTTCCTAAAACTACTAATGAATTAAAAATATATCCTCATTAAGTACCTATAGGAACGTCATCTGTATTCATTTTCCAATCTATATTAGGAATCTATCTTCATCTTGAAACTGTATCAAAAGGTTCCTAGTTTGCACCTATACAGTAACACAACTGAATTTCGAATATGATATGAATACTGAACATTGGTTACAGGACAAATTCGTWAATTTTTGTGTGTGCATTKTATATGCAAGAATATAGGTGTGTACCGTGGATACATATAATATGTAAGATTGTAGGAACATAATAAAATGACATATAAAAATAATATTAATCCGAGTAAAATAAGCCATAATAAATAATAATCATGCTAGATAATTTCAAAAAAATAACATATATAATCTTCTTTAAAATAATAAAAACTGCTTTGAATATTTTTTATACATTMAAATAAAATATATAATTTTTGTTACTTTTAGCTTTTTACTTAATAATAATAATATGTACTACTATAACTATGTCTAAAATATTATTGTCTTGATAAGTTTTAAATACGCTATGAATTAGTTCCAATAGAATTTAAATTACCTTTATCTGAACCATCGATTTTATAATTTTTTGGCAATGTAATACTTTCACTATACTCTAAATAATAAGTTGGTGTTTTATTATTTATATCTAATGCGTTAGGATCTGCACCAGCTTCTATCATTAGATCCCAAACCCGAGAAACGTCTGAACAGGAACATATATAATGCAATGGAATTCTTAAAGTCTAAAAATTAAAAAATTAAAACACATCAGCTTATAAGATGTATTTTTTAAATGTAATAATTATATTTTTTAAGAGTTCAAAATTGAAATGAATGTTTCCGAATACTATAAAATATAAATTATGATTAAACTATTACTTTAATGACGATTTTAATTAATTAGTTATTCAATAAAACAATATTAAATTATATTCAAATTATGTGATAGGTATACTTACTTACCGTCCATCTAAATCTTCTATAATTACCTAACTAGTTTTAAGTTTTACTATAAAATATAAATCATATTGTATAAAATATTTATATCGATGGCTATTACCTAATACTATTTAATATTAATGAGTCAGATATTAATCTAAGCAAATTTATATTTAATATAAATTGAAACTATTACTTTATCTTTAATGTGGACAGTTTGTGGATAGTTCTTCACAAGCCACTCAACAACATCTAAAAAGTCATAATAAACGACTTTATGCAGTACAGTCACTCCATTTAAATCTTTACTGCAAACTAATTTCGCAGGAAGAATTTTGTAAATATTTCTTGACGTGTTTCCATTTTCTAATAATAATTGCATATCTCTTAAATTTCCCTTGCACGCAGAATCTTGCAGCATATCCATACGGGCCTAAAACAACACTGCAAATTCTAACTGGATGCAATACAGAATATTGTCTGTATATATAATATTATGTACAAAATGCATTACTGAATACTACTATCAAGTGATAGAAAAACATAATTATGTATTATAATATACCTATCTCTGGTTTATAACACTATTTAAAATGTGTAGTTAAATATTTATTTACATTTAAAATTACAAATTTCTAATTGCAAGATTCTTCATTATACGTATATATTGTGGGACACAAAATACAGGGTGATCCAGTTAAGTGGGCACACTAATGATATCAAAAAGTATAAACTTTTTTTGAATTTTTTTTTTAACTTTTAAGTTTATGTTTTTCTAAAACTGTATAATATTTTAATTTTTTTCTTTCTTGTATTTATTGGTGAAACCACTATCAACTTTTGATTTTCAAATGGTAACATATAATTAAAATATTATGAATTAATAAAACTATTATTTTCATTTTACGTGTTTACATTTTTATTTTTCGTTAATTTTTTATGAGATACAGCTCCAAAGTATTGGTGGTTATTACTGTTTTTCCAACAATTGTAAAGACCAGGAGCTAGATATAAATTTTATATCGCTGAATCCAAGGTAACAAAATAAATATTAATC